CAGAAAAGAGACAATTGTTGGTAGCAGAGTACGTATGAAACTTAAACTTTAAATGGGCTCCAAGGCAGGGAGGTTGGGGGGGAAGGTTCAAGAACAGACAGCTTGGAAGGGGCTCAGATCTCATGGGAAGCTGTGCTTCAGCCTACATGGAAGAGAGAGAAGCCTGCTGTGAAAGTGCAATCGCAGTAGACCTTGTGACTTAGCTGTTTCCTCAGAATTGAACACTTTCTGTCTAGAGATGACAGCCTCCAGACTCAGGAAACTCTTGAAACTGACCAGATCCAGGAAGCTCAGAAATTTACAAGAATCCTGCAGACCCTCCCCAAGGTTCTATGAGCAGAAAGTAAACTCAGGGAGAGGATTATCTAGTGGAGCTGCCTGCAAGTTGTGCAGGGTGTGCAGACAGCCCCAGGGATGCAGCTCTCAAGAGATGTCATACATGCTGGGGTGGACCTGGGGATGTAGCTGCCTTAAGTCACCCATGTTCCTGTAGGTAACCCTGACAATAGAGTCATTGGTTCTCCAAGCTAGACTTGGGTGGAATTTTCTTTGGTTTGTCATCAGTGCCCCTATGTAGGGTGAGAAGACCCTTGCTCACATCTTCAGGAGAAGCTACTCAGCAGTCACTGTGGCAGGAAGGCAGGAACAGGTGACCAGCACCCACTGATATGGATGGATGTGCCTGAATACCACAGGGCAGCCTCTTCCACAATGTCCTCAGAGCCCTCTACCAGAAAGCTTAACATCCCGCTCACCTAACAGGCAAACTAAAGGCATGTGTATTATTTGCTGTGGGGCACAGGTGAAGGGTGCGCTGGGGGAGGGTCACCATCACACATGGCTTCAGCAAACATATTAATTCTCTCAAAAAGCAAAGATCATATACTGGCCTGTAGTTCTAGGGTCTGGGGGAGGTGATCAGCAGTGTCATCCAGGACACTGGTGTTTTCCATCTGGCTCCCACTGTGTTGGCCATCTTCCATAGTTAGTTAAGGAGCCAGAGCAGTGGCAAGTGCCTTAGGCAGGTATTACTCTGTGTGTGTGTGTGTGTGTGTGTGTGTGTGTGTGAGAGAGAGAGAGAGAGAGAGAGAGAGAGAGAGAGAGAAACAAACCTCCTCTCTTGTATATTTTCTTACAGGACAGGAAAGCATTTGTTAGAAAATCCCAGGTCGCTGCCCACCAAGTTCCACTGTGAGGATTGGGTTGATGTGCCCTGACTCAGTTGTAAGCATGACTCGGACACAAGGACCTTACACTGTCACCTTCTTTCACTGGAGGCGGCCTTTGCCAGCACAGGGTGGCTGTGTCATGTGTGGACCCTTCTCCTGTCCTCTCCTTTGCAACAAGGTCTGGTTTCTAGTGCCAGCCAGAGGTTTGCTGCCTGGAAACTGACTTGGTGTTCTTCTAGGACAAGAGACTATTGGCTCTTTATTTTACCACTTTTTCCCCCCTTAAGACAAAAGGCTTTCTTTTCAGCCCAGGTTGGTCTACAACTTACTATGTCACACAGGTTAGCCTGGAAACTTGCTGCACTATTCCCGCCTCAGCCTCCCAAATGGTGGTGGTTCAAGTGTAAGCCACCATGCTTGGCTTATATTTTGGCATAGTAAAATGGCTCAGTCAGTAAAAGTGCCTGTCTTGAAAGCCTGATCTGGGTTTGATGAAGGGAATTCATGATGGAAGGAGAGAACTGACTCCTGAAAATTGTACTTTTTTTCTTTTTTTTTTTTTTTGTCTTTTTGAGGCCAGGTCTCCCTGTAGCCCCAGATGGCCTGAAACTCACTATGTAGACCAGGCAGGCTTCGAACTCAGGAGATCCACCTGCCTCTGCCTCCCCAGTGCTGGGATTAAAAGTGTATATCACCACGCCGCCGGCTAGAAACTTCAAACTTTTATCTTCTGATTTTTGAGACAGGGTCTCTTGTAGCCCTCCCTGGCTGGCCCTAAACTCACTATGTAGCCAAGGATGATCTTGAACTCTTTATTATTATTTTTTTGGTCTTTTTGAGACAGGGTCTCCCTGTAGCCCCAGCTGTCCTGGAACTCACTATGTAGGCCAGGCTGGCCTTGAACTCACAGAGATCTGCCTGCCTCTGCCTCCCGAGTGCTGGGATTAAAGGCGTGTGCCACCAAGCTCTTGAACTCTTGACCATTCTTCTGCCTTGAGTGCTGGGATTAGAGGCATGCACCACCATGCCCAACTTTTTTATTGTTGTTTTGAGACAGTGTTTCACACTGTAGTATAGTCTGGCCTGGAATTTACTATGCAACCTAAAGTGAGTTAATGTTCATGAAACACTATATAATTTTTTTTTTTTTGGCAAGGCTGAGTATTGAACTCAGGGCCTTGCACATGTTAGGGAAGTATTCTACCACTCAGCTACACACCCACCAGGCCTTTATATAAAATAATAATAATAATAATAATAATAATAATAATCTCAGTTCATTTATCATCTTAGGCAAGGGATGACAGGAATGGAAATATGCTTAGAGAATCTTTTGATAGAATCAGGCTCTTCCTGGGTATTCTGGAAAGCGTCTGGAATTTTCTGTAAGCTTCTACTTGAGGTTCAAGGAGAACTCTGGAAACTGTCAGTTTGACAGCTTGGGGGTTGGGTGTTCCCCAGGGACACCTTAGCCTTACCTGCCTCTGCTATTGGTCTGCACACCAAGCAGGGGCATGCTCAGCAGTGGCCTGTTTCTAGCCTTAATCTGCCACCTGAACTGTGATTATAAAGTCAGGCCAAATGGGAGGTGCAAGAATACTGAACCATCACAATGTGCAGCAGTTGGAGCACCTGGATCCCAGGCCTGGCCCTGTTTGTCAGCTGAAGAGACTATTTGTATCCAGGGACTGTGAAAGCAAAGTACTACTGGGGGCTCAAAAGTACAGAAATTTATTTTCTCACAGTTCTAGAGCCCAGAATTCTAAAATGAAGGTGCTGACAGGTCCCTGCTCTCTCTGAAGGTTTGGAAATAGCTGTTCCAGGCAGTTCCCCTGGAGTTGTGTTGCCAGTGACCCCAGGCATACATACCTTGGCTTGCAGACACATCACGCCTCCCGCTAAGCAACATCCTCAGCCCATTTCTCTATCCTCAGATAACCATTTTTCTTTTCTTTCTTTTTTTTTTCTTGGTCTTTTTGAGATAGGGTCTCCCTGTAGCCTCAGCTGGTCTGGAACTCACTATGTAGACCAGGCTGCCCTTGAACTCGCAGAGATTCACCCATCTCTGCCTCCCAAGTGCTGGAACTACAGGGGTGCAGCACCACACCCTGCTCTGGGAATCCTTTCTTGACCACAGCTGACATCCAGGGATCTCTAGGGCTGCACAGTAGTCTATTAGCCAGGTCACAGGCTCTGCACTGAGCTTCACCTTGGGTTGATCATTTACTAGTGCATGCTCACCTAGTGGCCAGATTTCTCCATGTCTGTTTCCAAGGACTGTGGTAGGATTAAATAAGCTAAATAAAAGAGCCAGAACACATGATTATCTGCTCTGCTGATGTCAGGTATGACCACTCATTATTTGTGTGTGGATCCCAGCTTTGTCACATCTTAGTCTCTTTGGGTAAGTTACTTAACATTTCCATGATTCAGTTTCTAATCTCTAACAATGGTGCTGTATTGAAGATCCTGCTTAAGTATTTAGCATAGTGTCTAGAATAAGCACTATTAAATAGTACTTTTGAGTGCTCTATTGAATAAGCAGTAGAAAATACTGAATAAACACCAGAAAGATTAGTTATAACAATGAGTCTGGGGCCTGGAGAGATGGCTCAGTGGTTAAAGGCACTGGCTTCTCTTACAGAGCTGACCTAGGTTTGAGTCCCAGTACCCGCATGGTGGCTAACAACCATCCACAACTGCAGTTCTAGAGGATCCCACACCCTCTCCTGACCTCCGTGGGTATTGCAAGACATGGGTGCACCTTGCATACATGCAGGCAATACACTCATACACATAAAAAATTGTATTTTATTTTTGGATGCTGGGGATTGAAGTACACACTAAATTCCACCCCCAAGTCCTGTATTTTTTTTAAGTTGCTGCAAAAATTGTGCATTGACGTATTTTCAGATTTAGCTTTTTTTTTTTTGTGTGTGTGTGTGTCTGCACGCCTCTGTGCAGGTCAGAGGTCTATGTCCCGTTTGTCTCTGCATCTTATTGACACCGGGTCTGACTGAACTTGGGTATCGAGATTCAGCTAGAGCTGAGTTTGCAGGTGCAAAGGCATTTTATTGTGTGGGTGGTCCGGATCCAATTCCTGCCCTCGTGCTTATGTGGCAAGCACTTCACAGACTGAGCCATCTCCCCAGCCCCAAATTTATCTTACATTCACCAGTTCGCAGCTGCGAGTAACAACACGGGCTCAGTTAACCTGCAAAATTAATAAAATGCTACAGTCAAAGGTGGTGGTACATGTCTGTGATTCCAGCACTCAGGAGGCGGAGGTAGAACGATCTAAACTCCTTCTTCGCCTTGGCTGCATATGGGAGACAGTGTTAAAAAATAAAAGGGCGGCAGTTGCTAGCTATTCTGTTTACTGTGTGCTGCGTGTTGGTCCAGCGGTGCGGCACACCTGGCTGCAAGAAGCTGGTGCTTAGGAAGTGACATTTCCACAGCGCTCCGGTGCAAAGGCTGCGGCACGCTAGAGAACCAGGCTCAGGGCTCCCTGGGCCGACCATCAACCGCACCCTCCGCCCAGTCCTCCCGGTCCCGCCCCGCCCCGCTGGTCCAGGCTGGAGACGGTGGCTTCAAGCGGGGAGCGCCCACGCTACGACCCAGAAGGGGAAACTGAGGCCGGGCCGCGGGGAGAGGCAGCATCCCGCGCATCCGCTGGGAGGACACGCACACACCAATGCGGCTCCCGCGTGGCACCCGCCACTTCCCGTCCCGCGCGCGAGCAGCACTCACGTGACCCGCGGGGCGGAGATCACCTGAACAAGGGCGTCACGTGAGCGGGGGGCGGGCCGGGGGCGGTGCCGCGCGGGTCACGTGATGCGGTTCCGGGCCGCGGCGGAGCTCAGCGCTAGCCGCACTCTCGAAGGACTCGGGCTCCCGCCGTCAGCCCCTCCGCTCTGCTCCCCCTCCGCCCCAGCGGCGCCACCGCGTCCCGGGCTCCGCGAGCGGCCGCCCGCCGCCAGCCGCCCCGCACCATGCGGGCCCTTCCCGGCCGCGGCGCCCACCTCGGGCCCGCCCGCCGCCCTCGCACGGCGGTCCCCCTGCGGCTCTTGCCTCCGCCGCTGCTGCTGCTGCTGCTCCAGGCCGCGGGCGCGCAGGCCCAGTCCACCGACTTCCCTGAGCTCTGCAGGTGGGTGGCCGCGGGCCGTGGGGGTGGGGAGTCCGTCGGGCCTCGTCCACACCCGCCCCGCCCCCGGGGGAAAGTTGCCTGCGTGGTGGCCGGGGGGGGGGTGGGGAGGACGGGGAGCCGCGAGCCCCCACTTCTGAACCCCGAGCCCAGAGCCCCCCCCCACCGCAGCCCAGAGCCCGGAGCCAGAACCCCTAGTCCCAGTCCTGATCCCTGAGTTCCGACCCCCAAGAGCCCCAGCCCTGATCCCTGAGGTCCGATCCCCCAGAGCGTCGAACACTTGAGGCCCGGAGCCCCTGACCCCGGATCCCTAGCCCAGAACTCGGAGTCCGAACTCGAGAGCCCAGAACCTGGAGCCTCGAACCCCGTTCCCTGAACCCCAACCCCGGATTCCCAGTATAGAACCTCGATTCCCCCCCCCCATTCCTAAACTCGGAACCCGGAGCCCGGAGCCTTAAGTCTCGAACCCCTGATCTCTGAACTCCGAACCTTCAGTTCCAAACCTGGAGCCAGAATCCTGAGTCTCGAACCCCAGATCCTTGAGTCCTGAATCCTTAGCACCGCACAGCGACCCCCAAACCCTGAACCCCAGGCTCCGACCCGCAGTCCCGGTCCCCGAACCCCCAGCCAGGCCACTGTGGCTGACCCAGAGAAGCCACGGGGGTCCCGCGGGGTAGACACCCGCGGCCAGCTGTGTCCTGGGGAGTCGGAGGGCAGAACTCCAACCGCGCTTTTGTTCGCGCACATTGCCATTGAACTTCAGCCGCGGGGCCCTGGGTGCGCACTGTCCAGGGAGCCCTCGCCGTGGCCTTGGACTTGGCTGGTGGTGGTTTCCGTGGCTGACTGAGCTCTCTGGTAGGACTCACCCCCCCTTTTTTTTTCCATTTTAAAAGTACCTGTTCTGTAGTGGGTGTCTTTTATTGGTCTGAGGCTGAGGGGTGGTCATCTGTGTTGGCTTTACCCTTCCTTCACCTAATCTACTTCCTGTCTGGTTGCACACGTGATGTCATTGTCTCCAGGGTGGATTTTTCTAGGGGAGTCTTCTCCTTTGGGAACCAAGGTTGTGTAATCATCGGTCCCATCGAAGTTTGTTGGGAAGTTTTGGGAAGTCAGGCTTCTGTTTGTTAAACTTTGGTAAGAGGGGAAACAAGATGAAAATATTGAAGTCAGGTTCACCCTTGACTTGGCTCTTAAAGTGACTTTGGAACACAGTGAAGCTGCGTCTACTTTGGGTTTCTGATGGCTTGTTTTTTTACCTTGTATCAGAGTTTTGTTCTCACCTGGAGTGCAGGGGTCATTACTCCAAGATAGAGGCTGACCTGAGTAGAAAGCCTCTGCAAAGGGCTGTGGAGACTGTTCTTTGGAGGGTATCTGGAGGGATACTCCTGTACTGTGGTTAACAGACCTGTGCTGTTTTAGGAGAAACGGCTGCTCTAATAACTTCATGATAGGGAGGAAGGGCGCCCCTTTAACAATGGCAGGCCCAGAGGGACATTTTAGAGAGGAAGTTTTGGATTAAGGGCTACTGTGATCAAGAATATCCCCCAAGAATTAGCATAGTGAATTAGTGCTGTGGAAGTCTTGCTCTTGTTAATTAATTGGATTTTCTTTTTTGTTTCTTTTTGGGGGGGTGGTGCAATTCTGGGAATTGAACCTAGGGCCTCAGCAGGCAAGTGCTATACCACTAAGCTAGAGACCCAGTCCTACAATTCATTTCATTAATTTTTTAAAACTATTCTCTTTTTTAAAATTTATTTTTACCTTATGTGTTTTGCTTGCATGTGTGTAAGTGCACCCGTGTTGTGCAAAGCCCATGGAGGCCAGAAGAGGGTGTTGGATCCTTGGAACTGGAATTATAGACCGTTAGCCACCATGTGGGTGCTGGGACTCAAACCCAGGTCCTCTGCAAGAACAGCCAGTGCTCAACTGCTGAGCCATCTCTCCAGCCCCCATTTTAATTAAGGCAGGGTCTCACTATGTAGCTCTGCCTGGCCTGGAACTCTACGGTACATCAGGCTAGCCAGAGTAGGTTAAAGTTGGCTAGTAGGACAGGTTGAGACCTCTTTGGGGCCACTGGCTTGTACCTGTGTTCACCCCATTTCCAGGTGGAACACATGTCCTTGTCTAGTGGGCCTGCTTTTGTGTGTGCATGCAGAGAGGCTGCTGTCACAAGTATGACTTAGGGCTAGAGAGGGATCTGGGAATGTGATCACCATAGCCTTCTTTTTTTTTTTTTTTTTTTTTTTTTTTTTTTTGTTCCCCAGCTGCCTAGGAATTTGCTAGTAGACCAGGCCAGCCTTGGTCTCAGAACTCCACCTCCCTCTTGCTCCCGAGTGCTGGGATTAAGGGTGTGCACTATCAGTCCTGACTTCTACCTTAGTCTTTGAGGTTGGTATGTTGGGTTGTTCCTCTAGATTTCCTGAAACCTCTCAGCCCCTGCACACCCTCTGTCAGTCAGTCACCTACCTGTCACTGCTCTCTATTGCTCAGAACTATTTTCGGTTTCTCTTCCAAACTTCATGCCTGCTTGGTGAAGTTTCATCCTGTGCCTCCTATTTGGTTTTGTGTTTGTCTTGGGCTTGGTTTTTGTGGTGCTGGAGTTCAAACCAGGGCCTCCAGCAAGCTAAGACGTTGTTTGCCATTTATCTATAGCCCTTCTTTAGAATCCATATCTCTTCTAAATTCTTTTAACGACTTTCTTGGGAATGTGGGCGGTAATCTGTACTGTTATGAGATAAATTGGCTCCAAGTCAAAGTTGTCAAGGTTCCTTAACTTTATCACATACTTGGGAAATTGCGGGGAGGGGTGAGCAGCTCTTTAAACCCAGTATGTAAAGTTCCACTAAGTATCTTGGGAGCATGCTGGGTTAAGCCCGGTGGTTATACTGCTCAAGGGCTATATGGCTAAAGTATAAATACCCATTCTGGTCTGTTAGCATGAAAAAAACTCGAGTCCTACAATTGTTACCTCTGTGTGTGTGTTTGCCACTTGGTCACATGGGGCAGTTACATGTGTGCTGAGGATCATGTTCCTAGTGTTTTTAAACAAGGTTAAACAGTAGTCACTTTTTGCTTGTGGAAAAAAATCCAAAACAAAACAGTCTTGGTGCGGTTTGAGTGCCCAGGGCAGTTCCTGAACTTATATCTTGTAAAGGTAATGGTATGCCCAGACGTCATGTGACTTTCCCTGGAGCCTGAGCAGTGGTTCTCACTGTCTCTTAACTGATAGAGTTGGATTTCTGGGAGAACAGCCTCTCCTCCCAAGAGAGGATATTTTTTAGAGCCCAGGAGGGAAGTCCTAGCCTACTTTGGGGTGTTGGGTTCCTACGGGGACTGCTCTGACCTCTCTGTAGGGCTGCAGTTTTTAGTGCCTATAGCTTTGAGGAGGGGTAAAGGGACCCCAGTGGAGGGACCATTTTAGCATCCACTCTTAGAATGTCTGTGCCATCGAGAGGTCTGCTCTGTGAGGTGTACATTGTACAGCAGGCATGGCAGAGCCAGGCCCCCAGGTGCAGATGGCTCCGAGCAGCACTTGGCACAACTACTTGCTCTTTGATGAGACCAGATAATTTATTTTATATGTATTTTATTTTTGGTGATACTAAGTATTGAATCTAGGGCCTCATGCCCTAGAATGCCAGGTAAATGTTCTACCCCTGAGCTATCTCTCTAGAGCTCTTTTTTACCTTATTTTGAGACAGGTCTTACTAAGTTGTCCAGGCTGGCTTTGCACTTGCCACCCTCCTGTCTCAGCGTCTGCAGCAGCTAGGATCCTAGGCTTGTACTTCTGGCCTGGCTGAGAACACAACTAGACATCTAGAGGCAAGCCCCATACTGTGGAAGAAGTTACACTCAGGTATCTCTGTGAAAGAGAGATTCAGGTGTCCCTTGGGATGTGGTGTATTGGTTCAAAGCTGGTAGAACTTAACTTTCTCAGGCCAGTGTGCATGGTGGTGGGGCAGGGACCATCTGAAGGTCAGGGCGTACAGGATGAGTGAGAACAAGAGAGGGGCCCATGCAGAGAGGGGCCAGAGGCCAGGCTGTACAGAACAACAAAGGGACCCCAGGCGTGCTCTAGGCTAGCCTGTCAGTGGCTTTTCTTATTACTGTGTACTTTAAACTGCAAATGCCATGTTATGTATGTAATGTACAGGTTTCCACCCTTGATTGAGGTGTTTACAATATCCTTCGTGAGTAAAGTCTTAACAGTTGGTACTGATTATAAAATGCATTGGACTGGTAGTTAACTACTTGGAAATTTGCACAGAACAAGTTTTCCCCAAATTGTTTGGGTATAAATGCTGGGGAGTTTATCACGTTGAGGACGAGAGCATGATGACGCTGGCTGGGAGTTGCAGTGGATTTAGTTGTTATCTCTAGGGAGTTTTTTTTTTTTTTTTTTTTCCTTCTTGCAGTTTTTCCAAAAGAACAATGCTTATGCCTAATTTGGGCCACATGTGAGCCTGGATCACATCCATTTATGTGTATGCATTCTTTTAACCATAAGTGTGTGTTAGCCTAGGACTGTTAATGGTGGTTACATTATTATTATTATTACATATGGCCCTCATTATGTTGTGGTGGGGGAGGATGATCTTTAACTCCTGATCCTCTGGCCTCTCTCATCATTTCTTAAAACAGCATCTCGACAGATTCCTAGAAAACAAATACTTAATTAAGGTCCGAATCTTTATATCAGGGTTTTACGTATAGGAGGACTTCAGAAGATGGAGTTGTTAAAATAATATAGAGGTTCTCTGTTTTTTTATTTTTGGTGCTGGGTGTGGAAGATGATCTTTAACTCCTGATCCTCTGGCCTCTCTCATCATTTCTTAAAACAGCATCTCGACAGATTCCTAGAAAACAAATACTTAATTAAGGTCCGAATCTTTATATCAGGGTTTTACGTATAGGAGGACTTCAGAAGATGGAGTTGTTAAAATAATATAGAGGTTCTCTGTTTTTTTATTTTTGGTGCTGGGTGTGGAATCCAGGGTCTTGCA